CTTACTAGTTATACAAAAGTTAGTGACATGAATTATGTTAAGAACACAAAAATTTATTGTTTCTTGTGGATAGTATGTCTTTATTTTGATTTATGAGGAAAGTAGCATAGAGTTAAGGATTTAAATGGTTTAAATATCTTTGAATACTTAAAAGGAGATATCAAAATATTAGCCAGCATATATACTTGTAATTTTGGTTTTAAAAATTAGCCCTTAAACCACTAACAATTAAGACTTAATTAATTGCGTGTTGATTTAATGGAGAATCAGTTAACAATAGAGTTTAAGAATTGAGTCCATTAGGATTTGGGAGAATTTGCTTAAAACAAAAAAGAATTGAGTCTAATCATAGAACCATTACTTATTTTTTAAGGCTGAATACAATTCCATTGTGTGTACATACCACATTTTCTTCATCCATTTATCTGTTGATGGACATTTAGGTTGATACTGTTCCTTGGTTATTGGAATAGTGTTACAATAAATATGGAGTGCAGATACCTCTTTGACATACTGATTTCATTTCCTTTGGATATATGCCCAGTAGTGGGATTGCTGGGTCATATGATAGTTCTATTTGTAGTTTATTTATTTTTTTGTTGGAACGTCCTTACTGTTCTTTATAATAGCTAGAGTAATTTACGTTTTCTTGAAGTGCACAAGGATATCTCTTTCTCAATATCCTTGCCAACACTTATCTTTTTTTTTTATAGTAGCCATTCTAACAGGTATGAGGTGATATCTCATTGTAATTTTAATTTGCACTGCTCTGATAATTAGTAATGTTGAGTGACTTTTCATGTATCTGTTGGCCACTTATATGTCTTCTTTTAATCAATGTTTCTTCAAGTCTTTTGCTGATTTTTAACTTGGGTTGTTTTCATGCTACTGAGTTGGGTTTTTTTTCTTATAGCTTTTGGGTATTAGCCCCTTATGAAATTTATGATTTGCAAATATTTAAAAAGAAGGAAATCCTGTTATTTGCCACAACTTGGATAAATCTGAAAGATGTTATACTACCTGAAATAAGCCAGGCACAGAAACACAAATACTGCATGATCTCCCTCATCTGTGAAATCTAAAAAAGTTGATGCATACAAATAGAGTAGAATGGTGGTTACCAGAGGCTAGGAGTTGGGAAGGTGGAGGAATAGGGAGATGGTAATCAAAGGCCATAAAGTTGGCTGGGTGTGGTGGCTTATGCCTGTAATCCCAGCAACTTGGGAGGCCGAGATGGGCAGATCATGAGGTCACGAGATCGAGACCACCCTGGCCAATATGGTGAAACTCCATCTCTACCAAAAGTACAAAAAGAAAAATTAGCTGGGCATGATGGTGTGTGCCTGCACTCCAAGTACTCAGGAGGCTGAGGCAGGAGAATAACTTGAACTTGAGAGGTGGAGATTGCAGTGAGCTGAGATTGCACCACTGCACTCCAACTTGGCAACAGAGCGAGACACGATCTCAAGAAAAAAAAAAAAAAAAGAAAAAAGGCATAAAGTTTCATTTAGACAAAAGGAATGAGCTTTCCAGATCTACTGCATAGCATAGTGGTCACAGTTCATAATAATATATATCACATTTCAAATATATAGGATGTTAAAGATTCATTTTGCTGAAAGAATGTATTTTGAATGTTCTAACTACAAGAAAATACGTATATTAATGTATATTAATTAGCTTGATATAATCATTACACAATTTATGTATATATGTGAACATCACATTGTATCCCATAAGTATATACAATTATTGTCAATTTAAAATTTAAACTAAAAATTTTTTAAACTGAAAAAAGTAGCTATATTGGATAAAATAAAATATATTACTAAAATTGTAAAATTAGCACAACTTTTGCTATTTGAAGATTTAATGGCATTTTCCATTTAAAGCATTTAGCACAATGTCAGTCACAAAGTAACACCTCTATAATTAACAACACAGATTTTTGTTTTTATCATGTTATTGTTAATATTATTTTAAAGTTAAAGAGAAAGGGTTCCACAAATTTTTTTTAAAAATCTTCAAATATATATCAATGAAGCATTAGGTTATTTGGCACATTTTAAAAAAATTGAACCATTATATCTCTTGGATTGCCATATTCTTTCTATCTGCAGAGGTACATTTCACTGCATCTTAACCCTTGAATATTGTGATAGTTATTTAGTTGGATGCTAGCTTTACTAACAATCAAGTCACTCTCTATACAACTACCAAAATGATGTTTTTAAAGAAGAATAAGAGTTCGGACATAACTTTGTAGGGTCTTTTTTCCCTGCTCTTACCTGCTGTGTACCACTATAATCCCTGGGGGAAGAAAATGCAAAATGAAGCCAAACAGTAATTCTAAAAATTAGAAATATGAAGGCAAACTGGATAGGAACCCCAGGAGTGGAAAAACAATGTAAGGACAGGGCATCTTACTATCCTTTACCCAAATAAAAAAGCAACCCTGGCCAATGCTTAGGAGGTTCATTCTCTCTTGAATCAAATATGGGTTCTATCAGCAATACCAGGCAAGTCCAGTACCCCTGGTAAAGAGGGTTGATCTGGAGCCATACTAAGAATAAACAGCCAGGGGAAGCATTGTCCTTCCCTGAGATGCTACAGACTACCCTCCCTCACTGAGAGTAGCCAAGTGAACCAGTCACAACAAGCTGCTAGACCTTGGAACATGACCTTTGTCCTTATTGGCAAGGAAAGCTTTTTCTTTACCTTGAGGCACTAGGTGATGCAGCAAGGGGCAACCCCTCCTGCCCCATTGAGATGGACCAACAAAGACCAGGGGGAGCTTCAGCCTCACTGAATAAATCAAGCAACCAAAAGAGCAAGGCAAAACTCTAAAAATGAAACCATCTTTGAAACCACAGGAAAAAAAAAAAAAAAAAAATGGTGATGTGGAACTACATGTTACAACTACACAGGGAGCTGCTTACTATAATAAAATATTTAAATATGGCCTAGAATCTTCTAATATAATATCTAAAATGTCCAGGACATAGTTAAAAAAAAGAGAAAAAATCTTGACACAGCAAGAACCAGGAATATTTTAACTTGAATGAGATAAGCAATTTAATGTTGCTAACACTTAAGTGAATCAGATGTTGGAATTATATGGCAAGAATTTTAAAGCAGTCATCAAAAATTTTTCTGGAAGTAATTACAAATCTCCTTGCAACAACAACAAAAAAGACTTTTTAATCTCAGCAAAGAAATAGAGGTTATGAAAAAGCACCAAAGGTAAATAATAGAACTGAAATATCTGATAATAAAAATTTAAAAACCTTGCTGGGTAGGTTCAGTAGTAGGCCAGAGATGACAGAGGATAGTATCAGTTAACTTGAAAACCAACAATAGGACTTATGCCATTTTCACAACAGAGAGGAAAAGGAGAGAAAGAGCACAAGACTGAGCATGCACAGGAGAGGATGGAAAAATAGTAAAAATAAAACTGCCCCTATTTGCAGATGCCATGATTGTCTTTGTAGAAAACCCATGCAATCTACAAAAATGCTCCTAGAATGAATAGGTAAGTTCAACATGATTGCTAAATACAAGATCAATACACAAAAATCAATCACATTACTGTATAATACCAAAGAACTTCAGTAGACCAAATTTAAATTATGCTTTTTTTTTTTTTTTTTTTTTGAGACGGAGTTTCGTTCTTGTTACCCAGGCTGGAGTGCAATGGCACGATCTCGGCTCACCGCAACCTCCGCCTCCTGGGCTCAGGCAATTCTCCTGCCTCAGCCTCCTGAGTAGCTGGGATTACAGGCACGCGCCACCATGCCCAGCTAATTTTTGTATTTTTAGTAGAGACGGGGTTTCACCATGTCTCGATCTCTCGACCTCGTGATCCACCCACCTCGGCCTCCCAAAGTGCTGGGATTACAGGCTTGAGCCACCGCGCCCAGCCTATGCTTTTAATTTAAAATTAAAATTAAAAGCATAATACTATTTATAATCAGTCCAATTAAAGTGAAATACTCACTGAGCTGTATACTTACTGAAACATGTCCAGAGTCTATATATGGAAACTTATTAAATGCTGTTGAAAGAAATCAAAGAAAACCTAAACAAATATAGAAACATAACAAGTTCATAGATTCAAAAATTCAACATTAGAAAAAAATGTTAATTCTCCCCAGATTGTTCTATGGGTTCAATGAAAGTTACTCTCAATATCACAGTAAGAATTTGTGCAGGCATAGACAAGCTCATTATAAAATACATACAAAACAAACAGCTCTAGAATATCTTTAAAAAAAATCTTTGTACAGAAGAATTAAATAGAAGAAATTACTCTATTTGATATAAAATCTTATTATAAAGTGACAGTAAACAAGGCAGTGTGGTATTGACAGAGAGATTATAGATTAATGGAATAGAGTAGAGAACCCAGAAATACACCTACATAAATATACTTAACTAATTTTTGATAAGGTGCAAAAGCAATTCAAGAGGAAATAGACTCTTTTCAACGAACAGTATTGAAGCAACTGGACATCCATAGGCAAAAAAATAAGCCTTGACCTAAATCTTGAAGTTTATACAAAAATTTATTAAAAATCAATCATAGATGTTAGTGTAAAAGTATAAAACTTTTAGAAAAGATATAGAAGACACTCTTTGGGATCTAAAGCTATTGAAGAGTTGTTAGACTTGACATTAAGAGATGATCCATAAAAGGCAAAATTGATAACATGGACCCCATCAAAATGTAAATTTTTTGCTTTGTGAGACTTATGTAAAGAGAATAAAAAGACAAGCTACACAATGGAAGAAAATACTTACAAACCACATGTGTGTAAAAGGGCTGCTATTTACAAGACAGAATGAACTCTCAAAACTCAACAATGGAAAACAATTTAATTAATGGGCGCAAAACATGAACAGACACTTCACCTGAGAGTATGTACGGATGGTATGTGTGCACATGAAAAGATATTCAATGTCATCAGCCATTAGGGAAATGCAAATTTAAACCACAGTGAGTGCTTGCTTCAGTACCACATCTGCGAAAATAATATGTAAAAGAGAAGATTAATAAGGCCCCTGTACAAGGATGAAACACAAAGTCATAAAGCATCCCATATTTTCCATTCCTTCTCTAATGTTTACAGATAGGAAAACTGAGGCTCCAATAAGCAACGTGACTTTCCCAATTGAGAGTCATTTTAGCTTTGAACTATTTCCAATTCCTCTTCCTCTAATAATCAAAAACCACAATGAGGTATCACTAAGTACCTATCAGGGTAGATATAAAATACTGGTAATGATGCCTGACTACATAGAATTTAATTCTATTTTTTTTCTTTTCTTTTCTTTTCTTTTTTTTTGAGACAGAGTCTCGCTCTGTCACCCACACTGGAGTGCAGTGACACAATCTCGGCTCACTGTAACCTCAGCCTCCCAGGTTCAAGTGATTCTCCTACCTCAGCCTCCCAAGTAGCTGGTATTACAGGAGCCCATCATGGTATTACAGGAGCCCAACATAGAGCTGGTATTAGAGAAGCCCAACATAGAGACAGGGTTTCTCCAGGTTGAGAGGGCTGGTCTTGAACTCTTGACCTCAGGTGATCCATCCACCTCAGCCTCCCAAAGTGCTGGGATTACAGATGTGAGGCACTGTGCCTGGCCATAATTCTATTTCTACAACATTTTGAAATAACATTTTAGAAATGGAGGAAAAGTTAGTAATTCTCAGAGGTGTGGACAGGGGTCAGTGATGGGGCAGAGGCGTAGGAACAAGATGAAGGTGGTTATAAAAGGACAACACAAGGGATCTTTGTGATGTTGTTCAGTATCTTGACTGTAGCAGTGTATATGCAAACCTGCATAAGTATAGTAAAATTACATAAAATTAAACACATGGACATACACATATGAGTGCAAATAAAACTGAAGAAATTTGAATAACACTGCTACCAGTGTCCATCCCCTAATTGTGATATTATGCTGCACTTTCTACAGTATGTTACCACTGGCGGAAAACATTGTAAAGTGTACATAAGATCTCTTTTTATTATTTCTTATAACTATATGTGAATCTAAAATTATATCAAAATTTAAAAGTTAAAATTTACAAATGTTACAGTGGAATACTATTCAGCATTAAAAAAGGGAAGGAAATCCTGTCATTTGCTACAACAGGAATGAACCTGGAGGACATCCTGCTAACTGAAATAAGCCAGAAACAGAATCACATATACTGTATGGTCTCACTTACATGTGGAAACTAAAAATGTTGATCTCTTGAGAGCAGAGAGTAGAATGGTGGTTATGGGGCTGAGTGGGGGAAGGGAAAAGATGCTGGTCAAAGGGTATGCCTTTCTTTTAGAAGGAGTAAGTTCAGGAGATCTATCATAGACTATGGTGACTACAGTTAATAATAATAATACTGTATTCCTCCAAAATATCTACTATATTTTTCATATATGTATTTAAAGAAAATAAGTAATGTATAATAATACACTCATTAGTGATTGATACATTAAAATATATTTCCATTGAGAGAGAGACATAAAGATGGAATAATAGTCTTGTCATTAATAGCTCAGCACTATTTTCATTGGATCTCTGTTATACACAGCAGTTCTCTACCTTTTAACACATCATAAAACATTTAAAAAATGATATTTATGTGCCACATGAAAGTATTTGGAGAATTACAGCCTAAGGCAACCAGCCAATCTCTTCTAGAAACCTCAATTCCCACCCATTGCAGACTGAAGAGATTACTATCTTAACATACTTATAATTTTGCATAGCCTTTGAGAAGTTCTCATATAGGCTAGACTTAAGATCTTTTTTTTTCTTTCTGGATGAGAAGCTTTCCAGCATCTGTGGTTTTCCTACAAGTCCAGCTATGCCTTTTTCTATTTTATGGCTGATACTGGGAGCTTAAATTTCTTGTAGTACTCCAACCCACCAAGGCTCTTGAGTCCTTTCTATGTCTATGCATACTAATTCCTGCCTGGAAGTCTCCTGCCTCATTCATCTAGCACATGCCTTTCCTCTCTCTGATAATGGGATGATGCAACTCTTTAAAGAGTAAAGATATGCTTAAAGTCTATGCTTAAACATAATTTCATTTGTCAGAATTACAGACTTCAAATTTAACAATTTTCTTTCACTGTATTCATCTATTTACTTGACAATATCCTGACTGAACTGTAACACCCTTGGATGAAATAATTACATATTTTAAATCTTTTTTTATTAGGATTTGTAAGATATAATAGATAGTCAACACATATTTGTTGAATAAATTTATAAATGCATAGAAGGTATTACTAAAGCTGTATCTATCCCAGAAGAATAACATGCTTATAATATTTTTGTGTAATATGTAAACCTCTTAATTACTGAATGAGAATTATAAATTGTCTCTCCAGAAAAAAATGCTTTCATATAAAATTTGCGCACAATTACCCTATTGACAGATTTTCCATTTTACTACCTAATGGGCAACTGACTGCTCAAGACTAGACTATACAAAAAAGATCTCCTAAAATGGATACTGATTTTCAGTCTGTTGGACAAACGACTAGTATGATTTGATATTTACAGATATTTTTACCATGTACTTGTGATCAAACAGAATAGACTAATTCTTTCAGAATTTAGTGGTTGTTTTGCACTTAATAGATGAAGATAACATTGTACCAAATTATGCATTATGCATTGAGGAAAAAGAAGTCAACCAATATCCAATAAATTAAAAATGAGTTCTCCCCTCAGACATAGTTTCCCCTATTATGAACATTTAGTATGAATGTAGTACATTTGGTACAGTTGATGGACCAATACTGATAGCAGTTATTAATCAAAATCCATAGTTTATATTAGAGTTCACTCTGTTGTATACTCATGGGTTTTGGCAAATTTATAACACATAGTTACCGTTACAGTATTATACAGAATAGTTTCACTGTCCTAAAAATCTTCTGTATTTCACTTTTTAAACTCTCCTCTCCTTCTGCCTCAACCTTTAGAAACCTTTGATTTTTTTATTGCCACCATAGTTTTGCCATTCCACAATGTCACATAGTTGGAATTATATAGTTTTTCCGCAATGTCATATAATTGGAATTATACAGTACGTAGCTGTTAAAACGTGCACTCTAAACGAAGAGACCCCTGCGAAACAGACTTTGTGTGAGCAACATAGCTGTTTATTCACCCAGGTGCAGGTGGGCTGAGTTGGAAAAGAGAGTCAGCAGAGTGCGATGGGGCAGGATTTGGTTTTATAGGTTAGGGGTAGGCAGTGAAAAGTTAAGAATGTTACAGTGTAGTATGGTTTTTTTGCAAGCTGGGAGGGGGTCATAGGGTCTATAGCCATGAGGTTGATCAATGTCAATTACCAAGTCCAATGGCCTTGACAGTTGAGGCCAGAATAAGAAACAATAGAAGAATATCTCAAGTTAGTTAGGCACCACAGGGATGGATTGTTCTTCCGTTTTTCATGGCCTTCCAGTTACTTTAGTTTTTCTCATTCTGGAAGACCCTCCAGAGGCGTACGTGTGGGCCATGGCGCCATCAGTCAGCCTAAAAGATCTTACATTCTTGTATTTTTATATTAATCATATAAAGGAAAAAGAAATAAAGAGGGGAGGGCAGCGGAATATGAGGAAGGCCGGCACAGAGGGGTGATGGGGGGATGTTTCTTAGGGCTTCTTCTCGGGTGATTGGGGGCAGCGTGGAAACCTAAAAGGAATTTAGACTGCTGGGAGATATGGGGCAAGGGGTGATATTGTGGGTTTGTTAGAAGGAGCATTTGTCATATTGACTGGTTATCACTTGTATGCGATTTTGTAAGAATTGAGAGATTGATTGGAAAACACAGGGTCCAAATAAGAGGAGAAAGATAGGTATCAGAGGACTAAGCATTGGAAGAAACCATGACTCCAGTTCGAGAGTGTCCAGCCAGTCCAGCCAGCTCCAGAGTAACCATTTGCCTGATTAGCAGGCTTTTGGGCTCTGTCTTTTAATCTACTGATGGCATCATATAGGAGCCCAGACTGGTTAACATAAAAACAACATTCTTCATTTAGGAACAGGCAAAGACCTCCTTTTTCAGCAGTCAGTAAATCAAGACCTCTGCAGTTTGGGAGGACAGCTGCAGCTAGGGAATTTACTTGAGCTTGAAGAAGGGATAGTGACTGAGTTAATTCTGCAGTGCTAGGAGAGAAATCACTGGAGAGGCTACGGAAGGTGATGACTGAGGTGGTAAGGCCTGCTATGCCTGTGCCGAGTGCAGTAGTGATTCCTAACCCTACAAGTAAGGGGATCAGTGGAATGACCCGCTTGTGGTGTTTTGGGGCCACAGGGAAACAGGGAGGTTTTCGTCTTTGTTGGCAAACTGAATTTGGGGAGTACGGAAAACTAGGGTACAAGCGCCTGTTCAGTTAGTAGGAAGGCAGATGTAAGCAGAAGAACCACAGAGGGAAAAAAAAAAAAAAAATCCTTGGCTTACACAGAACTGGAAGTATAAACTGAAAAGGTGAGTAAGTGTCCTGAGGGGGCTGGGGCTTTGGAGCCAAATGCCAAGGAAACCAGCAAGGGCTGCAGCTGTTACCAGGGCAGCAGCTACTGCCATGCGTAGGCACCAGAGCCAGCCCAGGACTGTGAGGTTAAGTTTTTGGATAAAAAGGCTATAGGCTGTGGGCCTGGCTCCTGTGTAAGAATTCCAATGGCACAGCCTTTTATTTCTGCTGTGTAGAAAGAGAAGGGTTGAGAGAGATGGGGAATGCTAGCATAGGGGCTGTTGCTAAGGTCTTCTTTAAAGTATTCAAGGAAGAAAGGGGGAAGGATTTGGAGTTCATGGATTCGGCTAAGTTTCCTTTTCTAAGTTTATGAAGTGGTTGGTTAGGAGGACAAAATCTGGTATCCAGAAGTGAAAGTATCCTGGGAAAGGGCCTGACGAAAATAATGAGGTATATCTCGGAAACCTTGGGGAAGGATGGTCCAGGTTAACCGCTAGGAGTGGTGGGTTTCAGGGTCAGTCCAAATAAAGGCGAAAAGAGGCTGAGAGGAGGGGTGTAAGGGGATGGTGAAAAAGGCATCTTCCAGGGCAGGAATGGAATCGTGAGTTGTGG